TTGGGAAACCTGAAGGGAAGAGACCGCTGGGGAGACCTAGACGTAGATGGGAGGATAATCTCAGGCGGGATCTATGGGAGATAGGAGTTAAAGGAAACTGGATTTTGTTGCCCCAGGACAGGGTCCGGTGGAGGGCTTTGGTTAATTCGGTGATGAACCTTCGGGTTCGGTAAGCCATCTAGTTAGTTCAGAAGAGATACATCTCCATCACCGGTCCCTATCGTGAGCCATATAAATCCAATCCCCACCCTTCAACCTTAGTTTCCTAAGATTCATTTTATTAAGTGCATTCAATCTCTGTTACGTCCATACGAAACAGCACGTAACATTAGAGTTTTGTGTATTTTAATATTTACGCTCTCGGATAGAAGAGACAAGACAGCATTTTTATTTCTTGGTGAATGCAATTTTAAATTGTTACCGTCATTCCTTAAAGAGCATTCACCAGCTGAGTTTTATAATGGAGACGTGTTAATTTTTTTTAAGTAAATAACTAAATAAAATCTTGTTTTCATGTTTTAAAATTGTAAGCGTTTAAAAGATATAACGCCGGTGTATTTACTTGAATGTGTCCATAGCAAATTCGTAACGCACAGTTATGCAATTTGTTTTCATATCTTTTTAGAACCTCGGCGTCAGATGGTATAACCGGATCTGCACGTCGTTTGATTTGCAGAAACTGTAAAACTTATTTTCTTTCTTCTTGGAACTCGACGTGAGGCTGAAATATTGAAGTGTCTGTGAGAAACCTTTGCTGTCTTACGACTGGTCATGATCTCGTGTTCAAAGTTAACAAATCGTAAAGAACGCGTTCTCAGTAGCAGTTTTACTATAGTCTTGGTGATCATGTAACAGAGAACCCAAAATTTTGCACATTTCTCTCAAAATCTCGATTATACTTTTATTTATTTATTTAATTAATTAATTACAGTGCTCTCTTTATTTTATGTGCGAATATGAAACGATGGTTGAATGCGTTCCAATATTTCTATAGTCTCTTTACTCTGTTTAGTAATCAAGGACATATTATATGGTTAGATAATCCATGACACGCAAGACTTAAATAGACGCCATTCGCATGAAAGGATTAATGTTACAGTGTGTTCTCTCGCAGTTGCCATGACAACAGAAATGGAAGTTGATCAGACGCTGGATTTGTCGGAAAGACGGCTCGAATTCCAG